CAACTCATATCAACATTCAACACAACACAACATTTGCTACTCAACATATCAACTTGCAACACAACACAACTGTACAACTCAACATCAACTTTCAACACAACTCAATTGTACAACTCAACATGTCAACTTGCAGCACAACACAAATATACAACTCAACATCAATCAACCAACATCATCCATTAGCTAACTGTTATTTTTACACCTGAAACTCCCTTGTTTTTTGTATGTGTTTAAATTATGTTGCAGGTGATCATCAGCATGAAGATGTTGGTGATGAGGCTTAGGCTTCAATTGGGCATGCTCTGATAGGATACGTGACATTGGGGCATAGCTAGGCTTAGTTTAGGATTTCATTATTGTTATTTTGTTTTGGAAAAAAAACTCATGTTTCATTTTTATATAAATTCCGCATTCGACCTTGTTTTAAGTTTAGGAATGTGAATTCTCTACTCTTATGTTAATGGAACCATTGTTTTAATTTTAAAGATTTTATTTAATCCAAAAATATGTTTTTATAATTATTGTATATGTATGTTGGGGTAGAGAAAAAAAAAGAAAAAAAGAAGGTATAGAAAAACAAAAAATTACACAATACAAAAGAAGATCAATTCACTTACCATTGAAAAGTTTTCCTTAAAAAATAAAAAATAAAGTTGAGAGTAATTTTTCAAGTCTTTAAACTGCTAAAAAAATCATTCATCACAATTTTATAATTAAGTTAATTTAAAATTTTATTATTTTTTCTGAATTCATTCATTATTTGAAGAATATTATCGACTATACTTATAATAATTGTGATTATTAAAATTAGTTTATGAAAATAAAAATATTTAATTAAACACCTGTATTTTAAAGCATAAAAATATCTGGATAAAGATGTTTTTGCTGAAACGAAATTCAAATTTAAAAATTAAAAATTAAAAACAAAACCCTTTATTTTAAAAAAATTAATAAAACATTTATTATTTTTTAAAAAATATTATTTTTTACAGATAAAAGAATGATCTATTCCGAAATAAATATACTACATTCATAGTGTGAATTAATAGATTTTATTTTGATTTTGATTTTAAAAATTTTAATTAATACTTGTAGCGGTAGCAATGAATTAATAGATTTTATTTTTGATTTTAATTTTAAAAATTTTAATTAATATTTGTGGCGGTAATTATTAATAATTGATAGCTCGAAAAGAAATAAATTCCCGCGTTCGAACCCTATAAATGTAAGAAGGTGAAGAAGGCAAAGTCACCGCACTGTCTCTATTCTTTGCTATTGTTCACGATGAAGACACTACTAAATGCCGGAAAGCAACCGGAGTCATTGCAAAAGAGAAAGATGAGCCTCAATCTAGTCTCTATCATCGTTGATCGTTTTCTCCTCGATAACAACTTTTCCCTCACGCGTTCCACCTTTCTCAACGAGGCTTCCTCGCTTATTGCCAACCAACACGTACGTATGCTACCTTCTTTTGCATTTTTTCTTATTAGAATCGGTCCAATGGTTTCCTCATTCTAATTCTTATCAATGAAGAAAGAAGAGCTATCAGCAATATTCAAATTTTAATTTTAATTTTATTATTTTTTTAGGTGTCAAAGAGTTTGCTGAGTTTGGAAAATATGCTGGATGAGTATATATGCTTGAAGGAAGAGAAGGCGTCGCTGCATCGAGAAAGGGTTGCGCTGATGCAAGAGAAAATCAGGATTCAGATGCTGTTGCGAGACATGCAAAATGCTGTCAACACATTCGATACTTTTCAGGGGCCACCCCCACCCAATGTTGCAGAGATGAACGCAAATCCTGCAATGCTTCCTCAATCCAGAGTTTCTCCTTCGGGTACATGTTTTTCCTCTTATGCATGAAATTTTTTTGTTTCAATGTGGTAGGCAGCCTTATTTGCTGATTTTGATTATTAAAACTGCAACAGCTATTTAAAACTTTTCAAGTTGTGGTACGATTAATTCAAATTGAGTTGTGGTATTAGTTTGTGTATGCATTGTCATCATTTAAGTCGATGATAATTGCATGAAAGGGTTCCTGCCATGTAGTTCCAGTTTCAAACCGGAATTTAAAACATTTACAAGTTTGATGAAATAAATATCTTGCCTATTTTAAGAACAAAGATTAGGTACGATGTGGGGTTTTGGTTATGTGTTATTCGTAAATGATAAGTAAAAACTCATATTAGGATGAGGAGGTTGAGGTTTATTTGGGGGTCACTTACAATTTTTTTTTATCCCTTATGCAACAATTAACTGTATATGTTATTTCTGTCATATATTCATGTGATATTCGTTTAAAATTTCTGTATTGCAATGGAGTAAAATGAAAATAATGTTAAGCTTCTTTATCATGAGTCAGTGATCAAATAAATTATCACATAGAATTTGTTTATCACTCATCAGCTCTTGAAAGCCAAAAAAGTCAAAAGGATGACTTAAAATTGGGCAATCAATTAATATTATATCAGAGTTATTGCAAGAACTTAGTCTCTCTTAGCTGAAAGCTCTGCAAGATCATGAACAATGTCTAAAATGGAAATCAAGGAATAACTATTACTAGTAATCTCCACTAAAACATGATTCACTTTTGAAATGGTGAAACCTGCAAGAAACTCCAACTAAATATTCTAAATTTTTTACCTCTGATATGCACTTGATAGCAAGATGACACTCAAGGCAAACCTGCAATTTTTCCATCACCCTTATTGGCACTCTCTCTGGGTTGCTCTTTAAAGTTAAAACGATTGCCCATTTCTCACTACGGTGCCTCACTTTATGTTCTTTTTCCTCATTGTCCCTGTCATGCAAAATAAAGCTAGTATCACGTACATAGCCTCGCTGCACTTATACCCAACTTACAACTAATCGGAGCCCTGCCATTTTTATCATATAGTATTAATCCACAACTCCCTCAATGTACCCATTTTGAGCTTTTCCGATCATAATTGATTGCATTCAAAGAAACGACATTACAATTTGGCATCCAATTGATAATTTTTTTTCCATATACATAACCCCGCTTCCCAAATTGATTAGTGGTGGTATGGCCAAATAGTATAAGGTGATCTAACAAAACTTTTAGGGTGAGATTGCTCATCACCTTACAAGTTTTGTGAGGTGAGGATTGTTCACCTTACATTATTTTGACTAATTGATTTGGGATTTCCAATACTAAGTGAAAAGAGTTGGATGCTTCATGTTTGAAATCTGTATTAGTTAGATATAATCTATGTTTCTAGTCTTCATTTTTGGGTAGTTTCAATAAATCAGTCTTTGCCTAATATTCTGTTTTGCTAATAGAATTGAATAACTCACTTGAATGTTTGAATTTTCCAAAGAGAAGTCCTATATTTGGGAATTCTGATTGATAAATTTAGGAGTGTAATCGTTAAATTGTATTTCCTTAGTCACTGTTTACTGTTGTATTTTTGGATATGTGTAAGCTAAGTTTATCAATTAATGGTTGAGTTAATCCTAATGTATTTAAGTCACAATTTGGAATTAAGTTTTTCAATTAAATTGAATGGTGTTCAACTTTTTAGGTTGTCTTAATGATGTTTTGACATTGCTTTGCTTTCTTAGGTGTTGCTCCTGTTAATACTACTCCTCTACCTCCGCAAAACATGTCTCATATACAGTCACTGCCTATGCGTATGAATACCAATGTGGAAGCAGGAAACTTCTCTGCACCCATGATTAGTGCATCTGACAGAAAGAGAAGAGATAGTCAAGCAATGGATGTTCCTACAGTTTCAAAGAAGCGTCGTGGTAGACCACCTGGTAGAAAAAATAATGTTCAAGGTATTTTTGTCCCCTAGCTGATAAATCTATCAAGTATATGCTAAGCTTTCATAATGTCATTAATTACATTTTTACTCTATCTATTCTCAGGTCAAAACATACTGCCATCGTCAAATAATACAGTCAATGACCAAGTAATTTCTACACCTTGTTCTGCAACTCAATCATCCGCTTGGAATTGTGCACTTGGTGGATCACAGGCTCAAGGATCTAATGCAGTCAATAACCAAGTAGTTATTACGCCTTGTTCTGCAACTCAATCATCGGCTGAGAACTGTGCACTTGGTGGATCACAAGTTCAAAGATCTAGTGTTGTTAAAAGCTTATTCAATCCTCTTCCATTTCCTACTCCAACCAATTCTCCAGTTTTAAATACACCTTGCAAAACAAATCCCTCTCACAATGATACATGTGTATCCCCTCTCGAGATTTCTCCGATTACGACATGCAATGGGAAGACTGCAGAACAATTGACTTGTTTAGGGAGAAGTCAATGCATTTCTCCAATCAATGTTGATTTGGACCAGACATGTGAGAAGGATCTCGTAAGTAGCAGGTTGGATACTTCTAATATGCATGAGAGCTTAGACAAATCATTGCCTGATGATGATGATGTTGCATACAACTTTGACATGGGAGACATATCATCACACAATTCTTGGGATTTTGATATGCTCAAGTTTGACAAGGAAGACTTATCTGAATTCTGCGAATTCGAATGTGGAGCCTTCATTTCATGATGACACTGTCTGAACTCTGAAATGGAAACATGGATTCTTCTGTTTTTTTAGCTTTGTATTCATTATTCAGTGATAAAACCCACATAGGAATTTGGAAATGATGCTGCGAGTGCAACATTGGCTATATCTTATTTGATCTTATATCACCTTATTGTTTAGTTTGGTCTAGTGAAAACCTTGGGACTTTTGAAGCCAACTTCACGGTATATGTACATTAGAGTGTTGAAGGAAGGTCCTGCTTTTTATTCTCGTGTTAAACTTACATAGCTTATTTAAAATAAAAAAAAATAGATCGTTCTCATATTTTTGTTCATTATTTCCTGGGTTACTGAGTAGCATGTGCAGGTTAAGGATTATGAGAGTCAGGTGCAACTCTGCGTTTGTTTGTTTATTATAAGAATATATAACGTAAAACCATTTTTTTAATGGGCGTTGGATGGAATAACTCAGTTAGTTAGAGTGATATCGTTAATCACATTGTTGGAGGTTCAAGGCTTCCTTTTAGTGATTTATAGTTATTTTTTTATTTTTTCTATTTTTATTTTTTTCTTCATTCTTTGTACTAGCATATAAAAAGTTTTACTATATGTCTGTAAAACTTTTTAAAATAAAAAATAATAAAAAAATTATATAATAATAAATGGTTAACAAAAAATATGAACTATTATGAATTGACATTTATAAAAATAAAAAAAAAATGGGAATTATAAAAGAGGAATTAAAAACAAAAAATTAGACAAAAATTGTGTACAAAAAAATTTCAATCTACTTTGACAAGGAATTTTTTTATTATTATTTTGATGAATTTTTTTCTTCTTAGTTAGTTTATAGTGAAGTAACTTTAGTTAATAACTTATTCAAGATTTTATCCATGTATCACTATTATGTTAAATTTTCCTTAGTTTTTCTTGGTCATTTTTGGCCAAGAACCCTACCTATCTCTACCTTGAGTAAAAAGCCTAGGAGTGGCCTTCATCTACCTTGGAGTGAGCCAAATCCTAGAGTACCTCTCAAGCATTCCATCAAACACCTTCTACTCAGCCTCCATTTTCGTCCATTTCCTCCATCAAAGACGTCCCTTGAAGAGCTTTGATCCAAGGAGTCAAGGCTTCCTTCTCATTGATCACATTTCTCCATCAATGCAAGCAAGGATGCTATCTTGTGGTATCTAGAGCCTTAGTTCTTCAAGGGTAACATTTTTGTCTCTTATAAATTCGGTCATGTCTAATTTGAGTCTTCTTTCTTATCTTCTAAGTTGTGCTTAAATGAATCATCATATAGCCATATTTTGATGATCCATAAACCTCATTTCATGTGTTTATTCATACCATATCTTCCTTGTGAATCATCTTGACATTTTTAGGCTTTCTGATTTTTTTTAGTATTTCCATGAGTAAACATAAAGTAATAGTATATGACTTGATTCAAATAAGAGTTTTCAAGGTAACATTATTAATCAATTACCATTCAGGGTAATAGATTACCAAACTTGTTACTGCAAAAGGATATTCAAATATCCTCTATGTTAATAGATTACCACGTCTACTACTAGAAAATGTTTTTCAAGTACTTTCTGAGGTAATAGATTACCAAAGTTGGTAATAGATTAAAACAAACTCTCGCTTGAAAAAAGCTAAAGAATCAAAGTTTTCATCGTGTTAATCGATTACCACTAGAGATAATCGATTACCATAGAATGAAAGGCAATCTAGATCTTAAAAGGCTTAGGATAATCGATTACCATATCCCGTAATCGATTACATTGGTGATTTAATGTTTCTGGTTCAATTTTAAAAGGCTAGTAATAGATTACCATATCAAGTATTAGATTACCTCTGTTATTACTCTTTATAATTGAATCACGTCTTGCACTCTATAAAATCAATCCTTTTGGAATTAAAAAATATAAGAAAAGAATCTTTTAGAGAACTCTTTGAAAATCTTTTGAAAGAAAAAAATTTGAGAAAAATATTACTTTCAAAAACAAGATTCAAGGCTTATCAAAGAATTTTTCTGAAATTTCAAGAAGTGCAAAGATAGAACATGAATTCTTGAAGGAAGAAATTCAAGAAATGTATTCATGAGTGAAAGATAAATATATACATGAAATTAGGTGATATCTTTCTAATCTTTAATCTTGTATTTTCATTTTGACTGGTGTATCTCTTGAGATAGGGTGTCTCAACAAGAGATTTTGAAATCTTGAGTAGGGTTTCTCAAGTAATTTCTGTGGGGTACATAAATTTTGTATGTTTTCAATCTTGGGGTGTCAAGATTAATTAATGTTTGTTTGAATTCTTGAAATATTGTGTGTGCAAGGTGTTTGAAAAACAATATTACAATGAATGATATTTGATTTAGTGGGGTGCTATATCAGGGAAAATTGGATGTAGGCCAAGTGGATGGCTAAACCAGTATAAATTTATGTGTTCTTTATCTTCTTACCCTTATCTTTAAAGAATCTTGCTAATCTATTAGTTAAAGATTTCAAAATATTTGTGAAATACGAAATTTCAATTGCAGTACCAACTCTGATCTTTATTCATGTAATTGAAATTGATTAAGAAGAAGGTAATCTAAAATCAACCTTGGTTACAAGTGATTGTTTCGCTGCATTAACTTTGATATTCTGATATATTGGTAATAAACCTTGTAATCTATTGTTCTTTGTTAATACAAATTGAGAAAAGGTTGAATTTTAGATATCTTGATAGGTCTTTATCAAGAATTGGTCTAAAAGAGAGTCATCTTTGGATAGAATCTATTCAACTTTCCCTTTTAGATTATTGTAAACTGGGACCAACAATTGGTATCAAGAGCTTAGAATTTGAAAATTAGTCAAGTTAGATCCATTAATTCCTTAAGATGACTAGTAATCAATTATCATTTGCTGAAGGTACCTCTATAAATAGACCTTCTCTCTTTTGTGGGGGATAATTACCCTTTTTGGAAAGTTAGAATGAAAATCTTTATGGAATCTGTTCATAGAAGCATACGGCATGCCGTGATTACTAAATACTAAACTCCTACTAAAACTAAAAATGGAAAAGAAATAGAGATACCTTTTGATACTTGGGATAAAGATGAAATTAAAAGGGCTGAAAATGATGCAAAGACATTAAACATAATACATTCTGCATTAAACTATGATGAATTTTTTAGAATATCAGCTTGTACAACAACGAAAGAAGCGTGGGACTTGATTCAAGTGACACATGAAGGAACTCCTAAAGTTAGACGTGCTAGAAAGAATACTCTCATCCAAGAATATGAGACTTTCAGAATGACACAAGGAGAGACCATCATGGATATTAAAAAGAGGTTTACACACATTATCAACCACTTTAAAGGCTTAGGAAAGATCTTCGATGAAGAAGAAGAAAATGTCAAGGTCCTAAAGTCACTAAATAGAAGATGGCAACCTACGGTTACAACAATTATTGAATTTAAGAATCTGGCTCAAATGAAAAGTGTGGAAGAACATATGCATAAAGTTTTGATGATGCCAAAATATTGAAGAAAATACAAGTTCAAGTTAAAGCAAGTTGATCAAGAAGCAAAATCTTAAGAAATAACTAGATAAGTCTTAACTACTTAGCTTGATATGTAAAATGAACTTTTAGAAATTGCAAACTTCACTTGACCATTAAATAAGGATTTCAAGAAAATTAAATTTAGTCTTTTTGAATATAAGAATAAGTTTTTGAAAAAGAAGGTAAAAAGAGCATTCAAAAAGATTTTACAAAAATATTTATGACTGATAATTAGAAATTTCCTATAATCAAAAGTTTATGTAAAAAATATAGTAATATTTGCCTGGTAATCGATTAATTACTAGCTTATGTAATCGATTACCAGAGCAAGGAAACTTCAAAGTTTAAATTTTGAATACAAAATGTGTTCTGGTAATCGATTACCAGACCTTGTAATCGATTACCAGAAGAGAGAACTTCAAAATTTTGAATTTAAAAGATACAAAGCTTCAAAGTTTTTGAACTTAAAATTGTTGTATTCGATTGCCAAGTCTTTTAATCGATTACCAGAGGATCTTTTCTAAAAAATTATAAAGAGTTACAACTCTTCATGAAGAGACACATCTTAAGAAATAATTGTCTATAAATACTTATAATTTTTCAGAAGAAGGTTATGAACTCAAATGTAAAATCTATTACAAAAACTCATTGGCCAAAAGTCATTTGCAAAAATATCTAAAAAGTTCTTTAAGATCATCAAAGTGTAATATCTACTCTTCAAAGAGAGTCATTCTGTAATACCCAATTGATCAGTTGATCTCTAAAGGAGAAAGGGTTTTTCTCCTTGTTGGTTATTGAATCTTAACACAAGGAAAGAGAGTTCCAAGATGTTGGAGGATTCAAGTCTTGTAAGAGTTACAAGAATAGTGGAAATCTCAAGTGGGACACTTGAGGAATGGATGTAGGCAGGATTGGAAGAACAAGTACAAATTGAGTTTGCAATTATTACTTCAATATACTTTTAATTATTTGTTTTTAATTGTGTTTAAGTAGTTTGCATCATCATTACATACAAATTTGTCTAAGAATTTGAATATATGAGAAAACATTTATGAAAACTCACAAAAGAGAAAAATTTGGATAACTTAATTCACCCTCTCTTAAGTTATACAAGGCTATTTGACTAACAAGTGGTATCAAGAGCAGGTTTCTTGTATAAAGCTTAAAAGATTCAAGAATTGAAATGGCCTCATCAAATTTTTTATTTCCTAAAGGAAACTCTATTAATAGACCTCCTATATTCAATGGTGAAGGATATTACTATTGGAAATCCCGTATGCAAATTTTTATTGAATCAATTAACTTAAATATATGGGATGCAGTTGAAAATGGTCCATATGTCCCTTCAATTAAGGTAGGAAAAGAAGCTAGGATTTTACCCAAAGATCAATGGAGTGAAGATGATAGAAGAAAGGTTCAATACAACTTAAAAGCCAAAAATATAATCACTCTACTTTAGGAATTGATGAATATTTTAGAATTTCAAATTGTAAAAATGCTAAAGAAATGTGGGATACACTTGAAGTAACACATGAAGGCACTAATGATGTTAAAAGATTTAGGATAAATACTCTCACTCATGAAGATGAATTGTTTAGAATGAATCCTAATGAAAATATAAAAGACATGCAAAAGAGATTTACACATATAATTAATCATCTTACATCTTTAGGAAAAGTATTTTCAAAT